GGCTGGGGTTGGAAGAGGGAAGTTTCGTGGTTCATTTGGCACTGGTATTGCCTGAATCGGGGGTCGGAGCTGAGAGGAATCAGCTCAGAAAGTCGGCTCGTTCTCCCTGCCGAAACCCAGAAAAATCTGGGTTTATAAAATTTGAAGTTCGAGATATTTACGGTTATGCCACTGAACTTCTTTTGCTCGTAACTCCTTCGTTACAACTCCGTTTTGAGTCCACTACATGTCTACGGACTCGTTTTGTCGTGCTCTACGCAACAGTACAACTGGAATCCTCAAATTCAATCCCGGTCAAAAAGTCAACTTTTAAACTAATAAAATATTCTAGGGGTATTTTAGTCTTTTTCTCAAATAAATTAATAATTAAATATTAATTTTAGGTTTGGGTTATTACATGTGATGTTTACATAGCCATTGTCAATGATCAATGAGAGTAGGGAAATTACCTCCTTTTACTTTTTTGAGGTTCTTTAATTTAGGTCTAAAATGATTAGCTGATATTGGATTTATAGTCCACGCGTTTTTAGTTTTAAATGTAGGTCTTTTGACTTTATTTACTTTTTTTATTGTGTCAATTTTACCCTTTGAGGTAAATAAGAAAAACATATTGAAAATCTAAATTTAATGCATAATTTCCTTGTAATTGAATTTTGAATTCTTTCCTTAATAATATTTACCTAATATATTCCATTTAATCAATAAATGTAAGACCCACGTATTATACCTATGCGATGGACAATAGGACAATATATCTATACCATGAGATAACATATCTACATCATAGGCTGAACAAACCACAAAACATCTTACCTATAAGTAAGGTGGAAAAATAAACAAGCAAAATATTAAATTACCTATAACTTAGGTGCATAAAAACATAAGTCGGACAATATATGCCACCTATATCTCTGGTACATAAAAAAGATAAGTGGTAAAGCGTATGTTACCTATAACTTAGATTCATAAACAAAATGGCAAAAAAGTGTGGTACCTATATCTCATGTATGTAAAAACACAAGTCAATTAATAACTTTTTTTTTTGTTAAAAGAATATGTTACCTATAATTTAGATATATATATATATATAATATCAGTCCCGATCTCTTGGATCACAGGAGTCCAAGAGTTTGTGGTCACTCATCATTAGATATTAATCCAAAAGTTTCTTAAAAGGAATGCAAGAGTGAGTGAACCATTGAATATATCAAAAAAATGTATAGAAAAGTTGATATAGATCCAAATTTTCATTGAGAAGTTGGGTTTTAATCCTCAGATTTGATGACTTTGATACAAGTCCTTTGACTTTTGTGACATATAAGATTACATTCCTTTTTTAATATTTTATGATGTGATATTTATATTTTTAATTTTTTAAAATAATTTTTTGTTCCAATGTTGCTCCTTATGTTTTGAATTGGGTAATAGTAATTTATGTGATAATAATTAGCCATTTATAACATTTGTCATTGAATAGAAAAGGAAAAAAAAAAAAAAGGCAAACATATCCCAAAAATCACGTTGTTACAAACTATTATACATTGTCGACCAAAGCATTTGATTGTGGAACTTTCAGTACGTCTATATACATCACACACAAGAGCAGATCAAAGAGAGGTAGTGATGGATGATGACATTCATTTGCTAAATTTATAATGTAAGACATAAAGGGTTCAACTTGAGAGAGAGAACTTGATCTTCTTGCAGCTAGAAGGATCAATAATGATCCAAAACGACATTTCCCTCTAAAAACAACTACCTATGCATTTCTACGGTTTCCAATTGAAGCATCCAAGGAAAAACAAGATCAGTTTGCAAACAGAAATCCATGACTACTTCAAATCCCTGACTACTTCAACATGCAAGGAAAAATCAGATCAATTGAAGCATGCAAGGAAAAACCAGATCAGTTTGCAACACACATCGTTTAGTACAGGAGTTATACTTATAGGTAACAATTTTTATTTTTGTTCACCCTATGGTAGAGGTACTCTTGTAGATATATATAGTAGAAATCCTATGGTATAAGTATATTGTTCTATTGCCTATTGCATAGGTATATATATATATATATATATATATATGTTTTTTCATATTTTCGACAATGTTTTTTTATAGGTAACATACAATTTTTATTTGTCTATTTTTGTATCTAATTTATAGGTAGTCTTCTAATTTATGTTCCTAACTTATATGCAGTCTTTTAATTTAGGTTCCTAACTTATAGGTAACATTATTTATCACTTAGTTTTTTCCGTTGCTAATAATAACACTATTTACATGTATATCCCGTTCATAATTTCATGTGGGTGCTTGTATGTCGATTGGTATAATATGTGGGTCTTTACTTTTCATTGATTAAATTGTATTTTATCCATATATTAGGTAAATATTATTAAGGAAAGAATTCAAAATTTAAATTAAGAAACTCAATCATAATAAAATAATACATTAAATTTAGATTTTAAACGTTTTTTTCTTATTCAACTCAAAAGGTAAAAATAAAAAACGTGTGAACTAAACACAATAACAGCTAATCATTTGGGAATCATTTTGGACATAGATCTAAGAAACCCATTATATTAAGGCCCCGTTTGGGATTGCTTTTTTTGGCCAAAAACCTGCTTAACTTTAAAGTTAAGCAATTTAAGGTGTTTGGTAAAAATAAAATATCCTGCTTATTTTAAAAGCAATGGTCTTTTGACAGCAGCTTTTAAAAGCAACCTCGGGGTTGCTTTTTAAAGCTGCTTTTAATTGAAGCAGCACGCTCCCTTTAATGAAATTTTTGCAATTCCACAAATACCCTTATTAGGTTAGAAATTTATCCTCACGTATTTCTCACAAATCTACAGACACCAAGTTCATCACGTAGCCTCCCAAGTTTGGAGACAACCATTCGCTCAATCTCTCTCAATCTCTTTCACAAGGTAGATTATCAATCTCTTCAAAGTTATTGATTATAATTTTCTGGGATATTTTTATTCTTCAATCTCT